CACTTCTTCCTGGGTTTGAGCCCTTCAGCTCTTGCTCAGCTGGGCCCTGTCCTTGGCTGCCGGGCTTCTCCGTCTCACCCTCCTTTGGCTGTGTCCCCAGACATCTCTATGAATGGCTCAAGTTCCTGCCCCAGATTTATATCTGCCTTGATTTGTCCAACGAGTCCCATCTCCTGCCAGCTCCTTCCCAGTCAATTAAGCTAACTCAACCCAAAGCTGCTGAGCCTCCTTCCATAAGGAAAGCCCTGTGCTGGGCCAGAGTCCCCATAGGCTAATGGCGGAGGTGGCATGTTCATCACCAGCTCCAGATGGATGATTCAGAGCTTTCTGAGGTCAAAGACAAAAAAAAAAAAAAAAAAAAAAAGGAAACTACCAAAGTTCTCAAAATAAATGTCATTTCTCCTTCACATAAAAGTCAGGAGTAGACGATACAGAGGAGGTGAGACTCCCTCCCACATTCCCAGGGATGGAGGCCTCTCTTACCAGAGCTCTGTCTGTGGTCCCAAAAGGCTGTGAGCTTCCAGCCAGTGCTCCTGTCAGGAGGAAGGAGGAAGAGGCAGATTTATCCTCTCTGACCACTCAGACCAGGTCATCTCCCTGGTCACATGCTCCTTGGCACCTTTTCTTCCCCTCAGAAGAGTCACTCATTTCTCTGTGGCCTCATTGGTTTGTCTGTCCACCACTCTTACTTGCCTCCCAGCTGACCCGATGCCCCAGGCGGTCCCTCATCAGATCTCTTTTCTCCGTTGTTCTATCCCCACTGTCCAGCCCAGCTCTTGGCATATAGTGTGTCTTCAAGAAATAGTGACTGTAACCAATGTGAATCTGCAATCTGTATACGTGGTAAAAATGGGAGTTCATAACCCACCTGAATCAAATATATGAAATATGATATGTCAAGAGCTTTGTAATGTTTTGAACAACCAATAAAAAAAAGAAAAGAAAAAAGAAATAGTGACTGATGGAAGGGACACCCGAGATTGCACCCTACACCTTCTCTGACGATCGTGATGACTCAGTTGGCCTGGCCCTGGTCCAGGCTCTTCTGTATCGAGTCTCTGATGATGAGTCTGCCACAAGCTGGGCCTGTGCTGAGGGTTTTGGGTGTGTGACCTCATTTAAGCCTCAGCAGAACCCTTAGAGGTGGACATTGCTCTTATCTCCACTTAGCAAGTAGGAACACGGAACAAGTAGGGCAGCTGGGATTTGAACTCGGCATTCCCAGTTCAAAGCCTCTGTTCACTTACTTCCCACCTTTCTGGGATTGCAGGAGGCCTGTGATGCCCTCCAGGCCTCCTGTTCTGCAGCCCTGGCCCCTTGATCTCCAGCAGACAGCTCTCTTGCTTGTGAAATATTCAGTTCCAGACGCTCAGCAAGCATTGTGCATCCATGCATCTCCGCGGTGGCTCCTCCCCTGCAAACCACAGATGAAGCTCCTTCCTGTGCGGAAGGGCCGTGCACCCACATGGACTGGGAGAACACTGCTTCTCCGGCTCTCCTTCTCCTCTAACTTAGCTCTTGGAGTCCTGATGGGTCCAGGGGCTCTTTCAGACTACAGAGGATGGGTAGATGGCACTGCAGTAGTCAGGGGCCTGCAGGACTCTCTTGGAGGAGTGCTTGTGGCGGGGGGGGGGGGGCTTCACCCCCTGCTGAGAGGGCCTATTTGGCTAAGGGAAGGTGATGGGGACCTCATGCCCTCCTGCACCTTGCTCCCTTGAACCACATGGCGCTTACAGAGCCTTGGCCCACAGGACAGTACTGAAAGTCCAGTGGAGGGAGAGGGGCTTTGGCCTTCCCATAGACTCACCAGAATCCTGCAGATAGGGACTGAATGTTGGCTGTAGGCAAAGTACTCAGAGACTGTCCAAGCTGTAAAGAGCCCCGGGGGTGATTGCTTCCTACTTCCATGACACAGACATACAGTGAGGTCCCGAGAGGCCAGGGCCTGCAGGGAACCCCGTGGCTGACCATTGCTAGAGCTGGCACTGGCTCTTCATGCCAGATGCGCCCTGTGGCTTGCTTGACTGAAGCGTTTATCTGGCACACAGGCCATCTGAGGAGGGCTTGGAGGAGGGTGTAGTGTGACACCTGTCTTGAAGAGTTAGTTCCCTGAGGTTCTGGGATGGATGGCTGGGACCAGCCAATTCTGTCACTGCTGTCTTCCTTCCAGTAGCTACCAGCAGGTGGCGCTACACACCCAATTGCAGCTTAGCTTCCAGAAAAAGGAAGGGCAAACTGGTGGCTGGGAGCAATTAGGGCAGGAGACAGGCTTTAGTGCCCAGCTTCCAATCACCTCCTCTCTGGCACCTGTGCTTCAGCACCCAGGGGAAGAGGAGGGAAGGGAAGCCCAGCATTGGGTTCATTGGGTTCCTCAGGTGATTGTGTGGTCAGCACACAGGTATCCTGGCTGTTTTTTCAACTTGAATAAACGACAGCCAGAGATGGAACGCAGCCGGGTGGGTGGGCACCTCAACCGCACGAGACCCACCTAGGCCCCAGCTGGAGCCTTGTCACCCCACTCTGTGCGCATGGGCACACTCCCTCACTTGGCACACACAGCACTTCCTGCCAGGCCAACTGGTTCCTGGGAATATGACCCCTTTCCTCCTCTTTCCTCTTCTCTTCCTCTGTCTTCTTCCCCCCTCTCTTCCCTCCGCTCTCCCAGGCCTCACTGTGTGTCTCTTTCCTTGCTCTCACCCCACCCCAGTTCCCCCAGGGACCCTACAGGTCTAGCCCCGCTCCCAACACCTCATCTGCAAAGGCACAGGGACCAATACCAGTGGGTTTCTAGGATGCAGTTTCCATGGCAACGGTGCATCTTCTGCTCCATGGTGCTCAGCCCTGGGCAGGTTGCCGTGGAGACTCACCTCATTGAAGAGTGATTTGTGGGGCTGTTTTTCTCCTTTACTTCATCTCCTTCCTTCTTTCCAGAAATGCTACCAGCCCAAACAGCTTTTCCCCACTCATGGGGAAGCTGGAAGCTTCTTCCCCCAGCCTCACAGAGGCCTGGAGAGCGTCTCCATAGCACGAGTTTCCCTAGGTAGCCCTCTTGCCTTGGAGATGCAGGAGGCACCTCTAAAGGCCAGCTGAGGGGTCACCACGGAGAAGCAGGTTAGTGGACCCAGTGTCCACCTTTTGTGCCCTGAATGCCTGTGGAGGCCCTCGAGTAGATGCAGGAAGTCAGTGGACAGCAACCCCAAGACTGTCTGTCAGCAGCCATTTTCTTCAAGCGTCTTGGTGGCTGGAGAGAAGGTGGGAGACAGTCAGAGGGGCTGCAGGGAGAAAGGTCAGGGGAACCCAGGAAAGAGCTGGGGCAGAAGAGGGAACGCGCTGGGGAAAGGGAAAGTGAGGGGGGAGATGGGGAGCCTAGGGAAGGGCAGGCGGCCCAAGCCCACAGGAGAGCCAGGCCCTGAGGCCATGGCAGGAGGCCTCTCTGGTGCTAATGACCTTTATAAATCACTCAGCAACCCCAAACCCAAAGCAGGCCTCCCCTTCTCTGCCAAGTAGAGAATCTGTTTGTAGACATACAAACGCATTAAGCACGTTGTAGTTCTCTTTCCCCTCAAGTTGAAAACCATTACAATAATTAATTAAGGCAGGGGATTAATTAAAGAGTCGTTTTCCCCCATTCTCCCCAAATAGATCAATCAGGGGGTGGAGGAACATGTGCTAGCTGCAGGCAGAAGGAGGGGGCTCTGGGGGAGGCATTTACAGGCACAGCTAGACACAAAGGACACCATGGGGGGGGGGCTCAGGGGACCGGCAGGGAGGCCCCTGGGGGCTGGGAAGCTCCTGTGCTCCCAAGGCCCTGTGGTCAGCTTCCCCTCCTGACTTTCACAGCAGGAGGTCTTCGTCACCATGGAAACAGGCCTGAGGGGCCAGGAAGGAAGAGTGGCCCTCACTCCTGTATTCTCTTGGAGTGTGTGACAGGCCAGTGCTCCCTGGGGCTGTCTAGGTGAGCAGGGTCAAGGCCTCCAGAGAGCTTTCCACCAGCCTGGTCTCCTCTGCTGCGGAGTCCCAGCCTGAAACGAACTCACAGTGGGGCAACCCTCCTGGTGACCAGCCTGACACCTGTGTGTGGATGTGCCATCCTGGTACAGGACAGGGTAGCGGGCCTCAGGCTGAGGGCTGTCAGTCTTTCAGGTAACTTCTTTCATTCTGCCAAAGTCTGAGGTCTCAGGGACTCCTCCTCCTCTCTCCCCACTCTCCTCCCTCTGCCTGCACTGTCTTACTCCTTTGACCAGCCTGCCCGCCATTCGTTCTGTTTTTTTTTTTTTTTTTGGTACTGGGGATTGAACTCAGGGACTCTTACCACTGAGCCACATCCCCAGCCCTATTTTGTATTTTATTTAGAGACAGGGTCTCACTGAGTTGCTTGTGCCTCATCATTGCTGAGGCTGGCTTTGAACTTGCAATCCACCTGCCTCAGCCTCCCAAGCTGCTGGGATCACAGGCATGTGCCACCGCGCTTGGCTTTCTGAGAATTCTTTCTATAACGTAATGTGTTTCTGTGTGACATTTTCAGCAACCCCCACCCCCAGTCCCCAGCCACTGTTCCTTGAATGGGCCCATTGAAGAATCACCCAGGTTAAGTGCGTCATCTTCTCCAGCTGTTTTTCCAACGGCGGTGCTATCAGGATGGAGGCATAAAACACGTACGTGATATATTAGGTGGACAGGGCAGAATAAAAGCACACTCATAATTTTTACACACAAAACATAAAATGGTTCAAAGAGAAACGTGTCTATACCAAGAGGGAGGGAAAAGAATCCCCAGTGCTATAAAAGGGGTTTGTGTCTGTGTGTCTGATGGCTGTTTTATGAGTACATGTGTGTGTGTGTTGGGGAGGCAGCTGTGAGGACAAATGCAAAGTAAACTCATGACTTTTCTAAAGAAAAATGAAACCCCAACATGCCCTGGCAGTGATGGATTTTTTACTTCTTTGTTTATTTTTAAAATAAATGTGTTTATTTGCAGTGCTGGGATGGAACCCAGCGCCCCAGTATGGGAGGCAAGTCCTCCACTCTAAGCCACAGCCCAGGCCAGTGGGTGCGGATTCTGAAGGCCATAGATTTTGACAAGGGCCCTGTGGGGAAGGGACCTTGGGGCTAGCCGCCCTCAGGTCAAAGCCCCATGTTTTAGTCAGCTTTTTCTCTGCTGTGACTGAAGGACCTGGCAAGAGCAATTAGAGGAGGAAAAGTTTATTTGGAGACACACGTTTTTGGGGGCCTCAGTCCACACAGGGCTGGCTCCACTCCTCAGGGCTGGAGGTAAGGCAGAACATCATGACGGAAGAGTGTGGTGGAGGAGAGCAGCTCCAGACGGGCACCTGGAACCAGAGGGAGAGAGCTCTACTCACCAGGGACAAAGTATATACCCCAAAGGCACATCCCCAGTGTCCCCCACCTGCTCTCAGTTACCGCCCGGTTCATCCCTATCAGGGGATTAATTCACAACCCGTCACTTCACCTCCAAACCTTCTTGCATTGTCTCACACAGGAGCTTCTGGGGCACACCTCATCAAAACCGTAACACCTCGACAAGCTGTGACCCTTCAGGACAAAGGCCAGAATCAGAATGGGGTTTGCAAAGTGGGTTCTGTACTCCGTCTCCTTCTCGTGGCCATCAGAAGCCAGTTCCTGTCCTTCGCCATCAGCTGCCTCAGGCCAATCTCTCCTTGGACACAGATGGGGTTTGTCACAGGGTTTTGTCCGTGTATAGTTCTAAAGGTTCTACCTGGATGTCAGCTCCACCCTGAAAAAAATCCCCCAAGCTTAGACTTCCCTCCCTGGCCATGGTCTGTGTTCGGAGCCCAGAGAGGCCCACCCAGAGGACGCAGCAGCCCCTCCGCCTGCCCCCTGCCTTCCTGCTTAGAAGCCCCACATGGGAAGCACAGGAACCGAGCTGCTGTGGCCTCGCTGGCCTTTGGGTGGGCTGAGGGGGGGGTGTCGGACTCCAAGTCAGGACCAGGACGTGGACCCTAGCCCACTTCAGCCAGTTTTCCATCACGGAGACGGACACCCAAGACACTCAACATGGAGGGAGGAAGGGCTCATGTTGGCTCCTGGGATGTCCAGTCCCTGGTCACTTAGCTCCATCCCCTGGGGCCTGAGCAGGGCGGTGCGTCCTGCTGGGAACACGCGGTGGAGGAGCACTCTCCTTATGGTAGCCAGATGCAAAAAGTGGTCAGATGCAAGTAGGGGCGGGGTTCCCCCATCCAGGCACCCCTGAGAACCTAATTTCCTTCCACTAGACCTCATCTCCTAAAGGTTGCACCCCCCACAGAATCGCAGATTGGGGACCAAACTGTAACCACATGGTCTCCCGGGACCCTGCAGACGGAAACCATTGCCCGAGCCTGGTGGGACCCTGCCCAGAGTGCCAAATGCTTCCCTGTCCTCCCGCCCTGTCCCTGCTGCTTCTGCCCTCTGGGCCTGCAAGGAGCGAGGCCATCTGCTGGGCATCCTGTCACTTCCTTCTCAAATCCCAAGTGCAAGGTTCCCGATGGCCCCTGCCTTGGGGCCAGCTGGTCTTGACCTCCGATTGGCAAAACAAAACTTTGGTGGAACAGTTGTCCAGCCTGTGTCTCCTTGAGGAGCAGGAACGAGCCTCATGACCCTCACCCTCGGGCCCTCACAGTCTCTTGTGCTCTGACCCAGTTTCCACCAGGAACCTGGGGGTGTGTGTGCAGGTTTATACAGCTGGGTTGAGGAACAGGTCTGGGAAATGGCCCTATTACAGTCTCTGGGACTCCATGGATGTGTGACGAGTGCTTTCTTGCATTGTTTTTAGGCCCTGCCCCATGGGCTGGCGGAGTCTGGGAGCTGGTCTTGGAGTCTTTCTGCCCTCCTTGCTAGGACAGGCCGGGCAAGGCCCAAGCGGCTGGGGGAAGCTGCAGATTTCCTGTGGCGGTTGGAACCCCAGGGATGAGAACATAGCAGGGAGGTGGCACAGTTTGGTCGAGTGTCCTGCGTCCCATCTGGAGACCCAGCCCTCCTGGGAACTGAGTGTGATGAGCCTGCTCCCTGGGGTTTCCTCCAGGGCAGGAAGAACACTTTGATCCTTGCCTGAGGCTCTTTTTAGCCCCAGAGCCTGGGCTTGTGATGTGCCAAACACTGTGAGCTGCCGGGTTTCCTGTGGCTGCCCCACGATCTCTGGGGCATCATGGCTGCTGTGACTGGGCCAGGGAGTGACCACATTGATGTCCACCCCACTCTGAAGGGAAATGCACATCTCCTCCCACCTGGGCCAGAGCAGGAAGTGTAGGAGGTGAGGCCGTAACCCGCTTCCTGCAGTCATAGGTCTTTTCTTCCCCTCAGTTAACACGCGGGTTTCCCAAATTAAGAAATCATGCAAGGAAAAGAATATGCACATATATTTTAGGGGACAAACAGGAAGCTGTTATGGCCTGTTTGGGCAGAGAGACATTTATTTCGTGAGAGTCCTGCTCTGGGCGGTTTTGTCCAGGTTTTGTGGATGCACGTGGTGCCTGAGGACCTGGGGTCAAGCCCTGAGACAACAGGGGACCCACAGACCCAGCCACAGATCAGATGCAGTTGGCTTCCAAGAGCTCAAGGTCGAATGTGCAGGCAGGCAAATTATGGCTTGCGACACCCATTATTACAACCCCACAACAGCAAGGGAAGCAGGAAACGGGTTCTTGGGAGCTCAGAATGAGGGCCACCAGCTGCAGAGTAGAGTGAGGGCAGATGGATGGGCTTTTGCCACTGTTGGTGTCTCCGGTGGCCACCTGCCTCTCCTGCACGTAGTCTTCATGCTGAGGAAACGGGGACTCTGCTGCAGCTCAGAGAGCAATGGAGCCTGTTGGCTGAAGCCAGCCAGCACACGACAATCCCTGGCCACAGCTGTGGGCTCCTGGGTGGACATCTGGTCCAAGCAGAATGATCTCAGGACTTCTGCTTTGATTGCTGACAGATGGATTTTCTCTCTCTGTGAGGGATAAGTATGCAGTAGGGGGAAATTCTGGAAGCCACCTTGAGACCACAGGGAAGGTAGCCTTAGGATAAAAATAATTTCATGAAGGGCAGGGAAGTGAAAGAAAAAAATTAGGTCCTTGGTGACATTTTTGAGCCCCTGGGTCAAACCAGTCCTGAAATCTACTCTATCTCTGATGTAAGTGAATAATACATTCATCTTCTGTGGATGGTATATTCCTTTTTTGTTTAACCCATTTTGAGATGACTTTGTGGTTGTCACTTCCAGCACAGAATCCTAAGCCACGTAGGCTTTTGCTTCCTGACCAAACTGATACTTGAGATGGAACCAGAAGCTCAAAAAATTAAACAATAAGAAAACAAATAACCCAATCAACAAATGGGCCAAGGACCTGAACAGACACTTCTCAGAGGAGCACATACAATCAATCAACAAGTACATGAAAAAATGCTCACCATCTCTAGCTGTCAGAGAAATGCAAATCAAAACCACCCTAAGATACCATCTCACTCCAGTGAGATTGGCAGCCATTCTGAAGTCAAACAACAACAAGTGCTGGTGAGGATGTGGGGAAAAGGGTACACTTGTACATTGCTGGTGGGACTGCAAATTGGTGCGGCCACTTTGGAAAGCAGTCTAGAAAGCTCTAAAGCCCTCTTTCCAGCAAATATGTGCAGAGCAGTGATCATATGGCAGGTCGTTGGCAGGATACGGGGACACATAAAGGATGCGATGTGGTCCTCTGGACCCTGTTGAAGCTCACACCTCAAGATGTTCCAGACGGGCGCCTCTGCCTGCTGAACAAGGGGAGGCCTGGGAGGCTTGGTGCCCCTAGAGAGGACAGCAGCCCCTCTGCTGGGGGTCAGCGGGGACGGTCCTCCCTCCACCTTCTTTGGAGAATGCTCCTCCTGCCCAGCCAGGCAGCGCTCACGTGGGGACTAGGCCCAGCCACCAGTCTTCCTTCCTTCCACCAACAGTGATTAGTTCAAGATGGCTTCTGACTCCAAGCCGGGTGAATGCAAGTGTCACCCAGGCCTTTTCTGGAGCCTTGGCGTTGCGGAGATGATAGACCATTTGTAGACCCTGGGGTCACCCTAGGGTTCCTGCCAAACCAGAGAAACTCTGGTCTCAGCGTGCTGGGATTGGGAGGACACAGACCCCTCATGTTGGGCTGCACTGAGCTTATCTTAATGAGCCCCGCCACTGCAGCTCTGAGCAGTGGGGCCTCAGGGTGCTCTTCAGTTCTCACCCACGGGTGCTGCTGAGAAGCTCAGTAATATCCTGTTCCAGGCTCAAGTCCCACTGGGGAGCATTGGAAGAGCTGGTGGAGCTCTGGTGTCCTGCTGCCTCTGCTCTCGCTGCACCACGTCCAGGACCTCCCCTCGACCCTGTCCAGCTTCTCAGCCTGGTTTAGCATCTCGGCATTATGGTGTGAAAGCGTGAGGACGCTGGGCTCCAAGTGGACAGGGGTCTGCCCTCCTGGGTGGGTTGTAACTGTGGTAAAGGGGGCCCAGCTTCCGGCCCTGCAAGACTCTGGATGCTGGAACTCACTTCCCACTGGAGGGTGGAGTGTGGGAAAGGATACTTGGGAACCGGGCCAGCTTAGCCCAGCGCCTGGCTCTGAGCAGGTGTGATTGATTCCCAAATGGGGTCAAGGTCACGGCCACGCAGCTGCTCCAGGCTTGGTACGGCCAGATACACATATCTAGCTCCCCGAGCTGGAGGAAAAGGAAGAGCCCTACAAGTCTAACCTCCAGCCACCAGGGCCCTGGGGCCAGAGGGCCTCCTTCCACGATGCTCCTGGCCTGGCTTCCCATCCCTGGACTGGGCAGGAGATGGAGTGTTTGGTGACCTCAGTGATTGTGGTTTTGGTTCCCAGGGTGGTTATAGGATTTGCCTGAGCCCAGAAACAGAGGCTCCTCCCCCACCCACCCCAGGCTGACCTCAGGCCCTCAAGTCTGCAGACCCACTGAGGGAGGCAGCAGTGAGCCCGTCTCCACATCCGGGCTCTGGGCTGGACACACCGTGGGCAGGGCCCAGTGCAAATCCTAAATGAGGGGCCCTTGTTCACCAGTTATTCAAAACTTCAAGAAAGCAATGGTGGTCCCCTGTGACCACAGTCACACCATGATGCTGGCCTGTCGGTACCATCTCAGGGTTGGGAAGGGCCTGGTCTGCTCCTGGGGCCAGTCCTGAGCTGGTGTGGGAAGGCACACAGAAGCACACTCCCTGGAGACAGGCAGGATTCAAACCCTGGGATCCTGGGCAAATCCTTTAGCCTCTCGTGGCCCCCTTGTCTATAAAATGGGGACACTAACAGGGCCACTGTGGGTCTTGAATGGGGGGTGTAAATTGCTTAGGTCAGTGCCTGTCCATCTTCAGTGTTAGTTGTGGAGCAGGCTGAACAAATGTTAGCTGCAGGTGGGTATCGCTTGTTTGCCTCAAGGCTGAATGCTGAACCCCACCCGTCTGGTGCAATGGAAACCCAGTCAGGACCCCCGCCCAGTCTGCCTGAGGGCAGAGATGACACCTTAGCAACTACTGTATGATCCCATCACGGTACGCCAACAAGGCAGCTTGCAGACCCAGAGAGCCCGTTAGATTTGGGCTATAAAAACTCTCTCCTGCTGGGTGCTCTCTCTCTCTCTCTCTCTCTCTCCCTCTCCTCTTTTTCCTCCAGTCGATCAGACACTGCCACAGTAAAGATCTCTTGGTCACTCCGAGTGTCGTAGTCACTTTCCTTTCATTGAGCACATAGAGGGGCTTGCTATTGTTCCCAAGGTGGAAATTTGTGTCCAACTTCCCGGCTCACTTCGGCTCCTCTCCACACCCCCTTTCCAGGCCCAGGGGCCAGTGGGAAGCGCTCCAGGAGCACAGGTGTTTGTGGGGAGTTGGGCTTGCATGGCCCAGGGCCGGCTCTGGCCACTCTTCCTAGAGTGCTGGGGTGGGGGTGGGGGGTGCTGCCAGCATGGTCAGAGTGTCCAAGGGGCCTCAGTGAGCAGGGCAGGCTGGGAGGGGAGGGAGGGGCTGGCGCTGCTGCCCCGCAGGCCCTTCAGGGCCAGGCAGAGCTGGGGGGGAGGCCAGGAGGAGGGTCCAGCAGGCGGTCTCTCGGCCTCCCCAGGCCAACCCAGTGTGGAGGGGATGAGCGCTCAGTCCACCTGGGACCCCCAAGCTGGGATTCTCGGCCCAGCTCTGCTCATGGGCCAACTCCCGGTCAGTTTCTCTGCCATCGCTCTGGGGCTCCAGATGCCAAATGTGTGGGAACCCTAATTGCACAGAGATTCTCTGAGGAATAAAATATAAGAGAGAAAAGGAGAGGGGAGAGAAAGAGACAGTTAGGGGACGGGGACGGGGACCCGGAACACCAACGGGCTGGCGCCCAGGTGAGCTGCTGAGAGCAGATCCTGACCCCTCCTCACAGGTGTGGCTGGCTTCAGGAGGGGACGCTCCTGACCCTGAGCCTAGAAGCAGAGGTGCCTCCCCCTCCCGCCCCAGGCTGACCCAGGCCATGGGAGGCCACAGTGAGCCTGTCGGCCACACTGGGCTCTGGGCTGGACCCACCTGCGTCTTCCTGGGTGCTTTTGAGGTGACGGAGCGTCCTACTGGGTCTGCTTCCCAGACATCCTCCCAGGGATGGCCCCCAGGTGACCTTGGCCTCTGGGCCCCCGGACTTGGCACCTTGAAGAACAGCAGACAGGCCTGAATTCCAGGAGGCCCGGAGCCAACGCATGACCTTGGAGAGTTTGCTTTTTTAAACTTAAAAAAGACACAATTTTAATTTTCACCCTGAAAACAATTGTGTTCTAGAACTTCCAGGCAGCCCCTCCTTCAGGCTGCTCTCAAGAGGGCAAAAGACAAAATACAATCACCCAGGGAAACAATGGCCTGGGTTCTATTTAAGACCGAGAGCCCCCCTCCCATCCAGCCTGGCCTTCCGGTCCCTCAATCCGGTTCCCGAGCTCACCAGCCGCCCCACCTTGCTGGCTCCAGTCACGGCACCCTGAGGCCGGGAGTGATGGAGAGCCAGACAAGCCCCTTCCCCCACCCAGGTCCCTCGAGCCTCCTCAGGTTCCTTTGAGTTCAGTCACTTCTGAGTCAGAGATGGAAAAAGTCAGCATCGGAGGCGGAAAAAGCCCCAGGAGTTCTCGGGAACACTGCATCCCGGACGCGCCCAGCCCGCCAAGGACATCCCAGTCCTTGCCAGTGGGTTGAATCCCCATTCGAGGCAGGCCCACCTTACAGGTGAAAAATAGAGGCTTACAGAAGCCCAGTGCGTTAATCATGGAGCTACTGTGACGTCTGGAGTTCTGCTCAGTGTTTGAACTTGGGCGCATCAGCCGTCTGGGGGTCCGTGTCTGGGTGTGCGTGGGGGCCCCGGCAGCTGCTGAGGCTCCCCAGGTCGCGAGGTCTTTTGAGAGCTAGGGAGGAGGCTCTGCACTCGTGGACATCTGCTAGGGTAGACCCCCGAGCAGAAGAGACGGAGGACAGCCACTTATGCAGGGGCCGTGTGGCAGGGGTGGCAGGCAGCTCAGACTTCCTGGGAGAAGCCCTGGGGACCAGTGAGGTCAGCACCCTTTCTTCTGTCCCCCTCAGCCTGTTGGCCTGTCCCAGGTTCAGCTGTATATTATTCCTGTGGTTGGGGGGGGGGCGGGGGAGGGTGTTTGCTTTTTTAACACTCAGTCTCATCCAAGGTTCCATGACCCCTGGAAGACAAGAATGTGTCCTTTTGCGGACTCCACTGAACATTCCCCAGCTCCTCCCTTTGGAGGACAAAGTCACTCAAAGTCCAAGAACATTGTGATGGTGTCCAGTGATCAAGCATGTGGGCCTTGGCCAGCCTGGGGCTGTGGGGACATGTGACGCCCCAGGGCCCTGTGCATGTCTTACGGAACTCTGAAGTCCTCAGGAATCGTCATTCACAGGTCGCCATCCTGGTTCAAGTGGCCCCTCCCTGAGGCTTCTTGGATAAGGGGCTCTTTTTGCCTATGTCAGCGTCGGAATATTTCTCAAAGGAGGGAGTTTGAGGGGTGTTTGGGGTGAGGGCTGGGGGTGGAGGAAGTGATGGGAAATTGTGCTGGGGTGGGAGTGTTTTAATTTTTATTTTTAATTTGTTGTTTTTCGATATACATGACAGTGGAGTGAGTTTTGACATATTATACACACATGGAGTGCAACCCAGTCCAATGAGGACCCCATTCCTGTGGCTGTCCATGCTGTGGAGTTTCACTGTGGTGGTTCATATATGAACATAGGACAGTTACGTCAGATTCGTTCCACTGTCTTTCCCATTCCCATCCCCTTTTCCTTCCCTTCACTCCCCTTCATCTAATCATGAACTTCTATTCTTCCCCTCCACATCCTCCTTTGTTGTGGGTTAGCATCCACATATCAGGGAGAATATTCTGCCTTTGGTTTGGGGGGATTGGCTTATTTTACTTAGCATGATAGTCTCTGGTTCCATCCATTTACCTGCAAATGCCATAATTTCATTCTTCTTTAAGGCTCAGTAATATTCCATTGTGTATATGTACCCCATTTTCTTTATTCATTCATCTGTTGAAGGGCACCCAGGTTGGTTCCATAGCTCAGCTATTGTGAATTGAGCTGCTATGAACATTGATGTGGCTGCATCACTGTACTGTGTGATTTAAAGTCCTTTGGGTATGAAGCAAAGAGTGGGGTAACTGGGTCAAATGGTAGTTCCATTCCAAGTTTTCTGAGGAATCTCCATTCTGCTTTCCAGAGTGGTTGCACCAATTTGAAGTCCCACCAGCAAGATATGAGTGACACTTTTGGGGGTGGAAGGTTGATGGATGTAATGGGGGATGGGCAGGGCAGAGCTGATCCAGTGGTGATCAGCTCCAGGAGCAGTGGACTGATTGGGAGATCCACCCGGTCAGACTGTCACCTGTGGGAATGGTGACCAGCTAGTGGGTGTTCCCTCCCTGGCTCCGTGTCCCCCAAAGACCAGGGATGGATTCAATGCCCAGCTTATGTCCTGGTACCATGTGCCACATCCACAGAGAGGGAGCACAGCCCAGGAGGAAGAGAAAGGCACGCTGGTGGTCCACAGCTGGTGAAGGAAGAGAAGAGGGAGGGGCTGTGGCCCCTGTGGCCGCCCAGGGCAAAGTCACACAGACAGGGCCTGGGGGAGGGGATAACCGAGACCATGCAGAGACCCCGTCCTGCCCAGCTTTGGTGCTCCATCCCAGCTGGTGGAGGCTCTTAACTCTGAGTCCAGCACATCCCAGTCCCCTCTCAGGGACATCAGGAAGGGTCTCCAAGGACAGGCCATCGTCAGTACAAATGAGTGAGAACCAGGAGAACCCGCAGCCCTTAAACTCACATGGGCTGAACAATAAAAGTTTAAAAGTAGCTCAGCGGAACGTGCCCTGGGCCTATTCCAATCACAAACACCAGACAAATAATCCAAAGCACTCAGCGAGCACGAGGCGCATCCAGCTCACCCTCCCTGGTTACTGTCACTCCAGGAGCGCAGCAGCCGGCGGTTCTGACAGCATCTGCGCCTCCGACCCCCGGCCGGGCTCTGGATCTAATAGCAGCGCCCTGTCTTTAGAATGCTCCTCGCTCGGGGGGCTTTACAGACATCATCTAATTGAGGGGGGGCAAGGGGAGTTGTGGTGTGCCTCGGAGCCCATTGGGAACCCCACAGCTGTGGCATCGGGGTGAGGGAGCTTCACTGGGTGCCTTTGAGGGACCAGCCCTGCCTCAGGGGCTCAGAGCACAGGGGCCTGGGCTCTGTGCACCAGGAGCCCTTGGTCTGGTGCCGAAGCTGGAGGCCCACCCATGGCCGTGGGGCAGAGGCCCGGCCCTGGTCCTGCCTGCCCTCTTGGGGCAGTTAACCCTGCGCAGGTTCTGACCAACACTCCAATGCCACGCTGTCCCCTGGGTGGGCCGGAGCTGGCTCCTGTGCCTCACACTGAAGCCATTTGATCTCCCTCTCCTCTCTAGCTTCCACAGGGGCCTGCTCCCATCTGTCACTCATTGTTTTTGAGTCTCTAGCAGGTGGTGGATGCCGTACATGCAGTCACGGTAGTCCCTGGTGCAGGTGAGGTGCACTGGGTCCCGGGGGCACTGAAGTTTGCTGGAGATGGTGTGGGGCTGGAGAGGGGGCTGCAAGCCCAGCCTGAGCTCTTTTCATAAGATCTGTCCAACAAGCACCGACAGACGCAGGCTCCAGGGTCTTTATAACCCCAGGTGTGTGGTCTGGAGAGCGCGTCCTGGTCCGAAGGAAGGGCACGTGCAGAGGTTTTGAGCTAGGACAGAGCTGTCTGTGTTGATGGGACAGAAGGGAAGCCAGTGGCAGTCCAGGGAGAGCCAGGGGAGAGAGATGAGCTGGGGCCTGGGGAGGCAGCAGGGCCCAGGGGAGGACAGGTCAGGCCTTGAAGCTAAAGCTGGGGTTGGGTCCCAGTGCACCAGGTACGTTCTGTGTTCCAGTGAGCAAAGGGGCCTGCGTCCTTGGGAGCTGCTGCCCACTCCTTCCCGTGAACCTGAGCTGGGTGTGCTGGCCTTGAGTGCCACCCCGCCCCCAGGCCTCCCATAGCTCCCCGCGCAGATGGGATGCCATAAAGGAGTGTTGAATGACGAGACCTCCAAGGATGCTTGGCGACATGGAGCTTTGGAGGCCCGGCCAGGCCCTTGGTGAGTGAGAAGGTATTTGATTTTAAGCAAAGGATGGCTAATCGCACATAAAAGCCTAACATTTCCGGCTGGTCTGCATGGCTTCCTTTTATATGCCAAAGACACGGGATAACAAAAACAGCTGCTCTTTATTAAGCATTTTCTGTGTGCCAGGCGCCATGCCAGACACTTTATAAACCACCTAATTGAATTGACTCTTCACGACCACCCTACAGGGGCCGGTGGGCAAGTTTCCTAAGGTCACATCGTTAGACAATTCTACTGACAACTTACTGTTTCCCAGTACCGGGAAGTGAACCCAGGGGCCCTTTGCCACTGAGCTGCCTTCTCAGAACTCTTTATTTTTTAGTTTGAGACAGGGTCTAACTGAGTGGCCCAGGCTGGCCTTGAACTTGTGCTCCTCTTGCCTCAGCCTCCTGAGTCACTGGGATGACTGGTGTGCCCCGCACCTGGCCGATGACAATTTTAAGATGATTTGCCAAGGAAGGAACCCTTTTGAAAGCCCCCGCCTTAGAGTAGCTACTTCAATTTTGTTAACTCAGAAATTGAACCCAGTTAGGTCTGGATGGTGGGTGGGATTGTGTTTGTCGAGGGAGTGACCAGCAGCCACAAGTTGTCCGGGCGAGGGAGATGGTGCAGGGGACGACGGGGACGAGACCACGAGTGGGTGTGGGGGAGGCAGGGAGGAGAGTTGCTGTGGTGCGGAGAGGCAGGAGGGGGAGCTGGGAGGGCTGCTGCTGCTCAGTCTGCACACGAGGGCCCATGGGAGCCATTGTAAGTTCTGGAGTGAGGGAAAAGGATGCAACTGGTGTTGGATTTTGGCTCTAAAGTCTATGGGGATTGGAGGAGAGGGATGAGATTAGAGAAAGAGGCCAAGAAAGGTTAAGCCTGGTGTCCCTGGAGCGAATAGGGCCAGGGACAGGACATTCTGACAAGTGGTAACTGCTAACATGCATCCACTGTATTTCACCCAGGCACCGCACACACATTAGCTCAACCATTCAGTCCTCCCAAGCAGGCTGAGGTAGTAATAGTGTCCACTGCCCTCACTGAGCCCTGCTCTGCGCCAGTCATTTTATGTACATTCCTGCAACTCTGTCCATAGCCACAGAGGG